GGGTTTCCCCAGTGCAGGGACTGGCGTGTTCCTGGAGGCATCTCCTCTGTGGTTTGCCTCTTGCCTGTAGTAGAAACATGCAGCTGTTTCCTCTGGTCGCCTACTGAGGCTGCTTCTGTATGGGTAGGCCTCCCTGCAGCCAGAGAAGAGGTGGCTCCCAGTGGGCCCCCGCTAGCAGTGTTGAGGATGTGCATGAGGTTTGCCCCAATTTTAGGATGTGCATCAGGCTTGCCTCAAGTTTTCAGGCCCAAGGCTCAGGGGACCCTGGAGAGTCCCCTGCTCCTGAGTGCAGACTCATCATACAGGCAACAGCATCACTCACCTGCTCCCCAGATACTCACAGGACACATGCTGTGTACTAGACACTGCTCGTGATGCTAGGGCACCGCCATTGTACTAGGGGGCCAGAAAAGGGCCCAGCTTTTGTTAGAGGGTCAGGAGCAGTCTCTCCGAGGTTGTTTTGTTAGCACTAAGACCTGAATATCAAGAAAGAGTAAGCTGTGCAGTTCTGGGCTGCTAGGACAGTAGGTACAACAGCCCTGAGGCTAAAACAGGCTCTGATATGTCCAAGGCAGCAAGGAGATGGCCAGTGTGCCGGAGTGAGGAGATAGGCCAACGTGGCTGGCTGGCTGGCTGGCTGGCTGGCTGGCTGGCTGGCTGGCTGGGTGGGTGGGCCTCATCAGTTGCTGCCTATCAGGTAAGATACTGGGAGAATTTGTTCATCCGCTCATGGCTTCTTCAGCTTCCCTCCTCACCAAGGCAGCTTTTCTGATACTAGTTCTGGTTGTTATGGAGTTAGTTGCTCCTGCAAGTCCTGTAAGTCCCTGGGATTCTTTGTCCAGTATGGGGGCCTCAGCTAGAGCTAGGGCTACTGAGAAGCAGGAAGCTGAGGGGTATCTACAAGAGATAGAGTTAGAGCTTTTGTCACCTGGTACTGGGTAACCACAGTCTGTGACTTTGTCCCTGGGCCTCCATTCTTGGGTTGGGAAGCAGAAAAGAAGAGGACTCTTCACCCACCCAGGACTGTTTGGAGGGCCCAGCATTGCCCCTCTGCATGCCTGGGACTGGCCTGCATGCCGTGAAGGGGCACCTCCAGGGCCATGCCCTGTGCTGGATGTTGGGTGCAGCCACAGCTAACCAGCTTACTCTGCCTGCCTTCATGTGCTGCTAGTGAATTGGGCAAGACCTCAGAAGACACTAAGGACTCCACCATGTCAGGAGCTGACTGCTGGAGAGGACTGTGCGAGGCCTGTGAGCCAGACTTTGAGGAGAGCCCGGGGCCTGCTCATTTCTGGTCTTCTGCAGTCCCCAGGGTGCTGACCACTGTGGCTCCCACTGGATCTACCCAGCGTGTCCTCCCCCTACCCCCGGAACTAGGCCCAGAGCAGGAGGCCCTGCCTGGTAGGGGTATACAGGGTGATGGTGAGACCTGCCACAGATGTGATAGGGATGGTGCCAAGCATTTAGGGTAGAGTAGGTCCTGCCATGGGTTGTGTAGGCAGGCCAGTCTCCCCTCTGTTGTCATGGCATAACTCTGTAAGGCAAGGGGTAAACTGAAATAGGAAGGGGCCTTCCCAGAGCAAGTAGAAAAGCTTAGTCAAGGTAGAGAATAAGCACGGAGCCATGGTGGATGCCTTGTGCTCAGGCTGAGGACAGTGAGCACCTCTTTATACACCCTTGCTCACTAACTGACCCTGGTGACTGAAAAGGCTGTGACCCTGGGCCCTGATTCCGGCTGCCTACCCCACCCAACACCAGGGACTCTGGCCTTATTTAGAGCCCGAAGTGCTGCTTGAGGAGTCAAAAAGTAAGAAATTTTGCTCAAGGGTGCGCATGTGCACACACACAGCTTTGTCCCACAAGCAGATCTAGCTATTACTCTGATTGATTGATGGCTGGGAAGGAGGGTGCTGGTTTCTTCTTATGAAGGAGCAGAGGTTAGAATAAGGGGATGTGGGAGAGTCTGGACACTTTGAAGCTTTTGCTAGGCCAGGTCAGAAACAGCCTGTTCCACGTGTTAACAAGTTCAGGAGGGTGTTTTTTTTTTTTTTTTTTTTTTTAATTGAAATAAACATTTTCAAAAAGGATACAAAATGTGCTTGCATTTTGAGGATCAAACACTGTACTTCAGAGGCGGCTGTGCCTCTGGCTGGGACCGCAGCCCATGTCTCTGTTCCATCTCCTCTCTGCACTCTCGGGTCACCGGGTCACCCTCAGCGTTTGGATGCCATTCCCCATGTTCCTTCTGACTTTTCACTGCTGCCAGGAAGGTGTGCAGGGGCAGTCAAGGTATCTGAGTAGGGGCAATGCTGTCCGTAACAGTGATTTGCTTGTTGACCAGGTGGTCCTCAGTGACTCACTAGGGACTGGGCAGTGTTGCAGGTGTGGGGAACAGCAGGGAGCAAGACAATGATAGTCGCTGCTCTTGAGCTGGCCTTTTAGGGAAGAGTGAATAGACATATGTACGTACATATACCCCATATGTCTGTGGTGAGTGCTGGGAGGCAGCTGAGCAAGAGACGTAGTGGCAGGATAGGAGCAGGAACATCTGAGTACAGGCCATGTGTGGGCAGGACAGGAGGTTCCAGCTGGGCAGCCCCACCAAGGGCCTTGGGGATGTGGCTAGGACTTACTTGGTGCTGAGCAGGGAAGCCATGAGCTGGACAGAGTGAGCTGGTGCAGGGAGGAGAAGAGGGCCAGGTTGTAGAAAGATCCCTCTGGACTCATGGGCCATGAGGAGTTTTGGGAGCCAGTCAGGGATTTTAGGGCATAAACTCTTAAGTGCTTCAGATGGTCTCCAGGGCCTGCTCTGCTTGGAGATCTTACTTAGAGAATGATTTCACCTCTATGTATGTCAGTTTCTACATCTGTAAAGTAGGCCCAGAGTGGCCACTCCACCCATGTTGCAGGGAGCTCATGAGCTCCATGTTGGCCTCTGCCCCGGGTCTTGGGCCCCTTGAAGTATGGTGAGAACTGGAACTGAGTCTGAGAACCATGTTTGGTGCCAGGGGCTTGTTTTCTTGTACTGGGAATCAAACTCAGCACCTTGAGCTTTGCCAGGCACAAGCGCTTTTGCTGCTGAGATATATCACCATCCCTGGTGTCAGGGACTAGTTTTCAAGTCTCATCTGCAGACTGTCTCACCTAAGGCCCATAGGAAAGGTGGAAACCATAGAAGTGGCTGCTTGCAGTACCCAGCCTAGAGTCTCACGTCCGGCCTCATACCCTTGCTGTATCAGCTGGGCTGGTGGGTATCCTCTCTCCCTTGTATTCCTTGTCTGGTGCATGAGGTGGTAATGGCTCCTTCATCCTGGGCCAGGTGGTGCAGGTTTTGTGAGGGATGCTCGGTAGAGTGCTGATATGCTGACAATGCTGCACATTTCGCTGTGCGCAGTGTGTCTCTGATCCCTGTGGCTGTCTCTGAGCCAGGCCCTCAATGCCTTGTGCTCTTGTGTGTTTTGCTGTTTCTTGTGAAAAAGCTTCAAGAAGCAGCGGCTGTCATCATCCTCTTTTATCAGGGGCCAGCACTGAGCTCCCTGGAGTGGGGTGAATCCTCTCACCTCCACTTTACAGATGAAGCCAGGTCTCACAACTGCTGGCAGCAAACAGTTTTAAGGCCTGGGCTGCCTAAATGTGAAGTTCTGAGCTGACCTGGGTTGGGTCCCTGCCTTGGGCTCAGAAGGGGCTCAGAGCTGTGTGGGAGGGACCTGGGTGGGGCTTCTGCCTGATCTTTATAAACATGGCCAGTTCCTCTGTTTGTCCTGCCCTCTGTGTGGTGCCCAGAGGAAAGGGGTGGCCCAGGCAAATATCCGGAGGTGTGCCCCTCCGCTCCCTCTGCCCGCTGGGTCACATGCAGTGGCAGCGTGCCAGTGGGAGTTTATGGTAGAAGGTGGAAAGGCAGCTACCTCCAGTAGCCCCCATCTCTATCCTGAGCTCCTCCTACTTCAGGGCCTGGCCCTTCTGGGTTGAGTGAGAGGTCACATGGCTGATGCTTTGAGGAGGTTGCCTTAGGGCCCCAGGCAGGGAGGGTGTTGTTCTGAGGCAGAAAAGCTGGCTGCACATGGAAGCCAGGGAGGCTGTGGAGCTGGTGCTTTGCTGGAAATTATTAGGGTTTAAAGATAGCCCTAGGAGCTGGAACTAGGACTTAAAGGTGAGGGCAGAGAAGCCAGGAAAGGGAGGGATAGAGAAAGGTCAAGGCCACCAGGATAGACAGAGAGCTAAAGGCTAGAAGGAGGAATAGGCAGCATTCAGGAGCTGGCACAGGAAGACACCCAAGGAGTTCTTGACTATACAGAGTCCCCTGCCCTCCCAGAGATGTCCCACCCCATATCCAGGTGCCTAGGTCAGGGCAAGTGGGTGAGCCCTAGCCAGGTCTGGCTCTGACCATCCACTCGCCCATGAGGACTAGCCGAGACACGTTGGCTGCAGGTTCCCCACCCACCTCTCACTGGGCTGCCACTGCCAAACCGGTTCCCCCAGCAGCTGCCCCTGGATGGTCCTTCCTCTGGGTGAGGGCTGGCACCTACCTCTCTTCCAGTCCTCTACTTACAAAACTAGGTTCTTTGTAAGACAGCCCAGCTTGAGGTTGGGAGCACATGGCCACAGGCATGTGGAGGCCCACAAGCCTGGGGGCCAGCCCTGTGCCCAGCACTGTACAGGCTCTAGGAATGAGACAATACCCAATGATGTATTTCTCCTTTTGCCGTGGCCTCAACTCATCCATCACCTCTTCTGGGAAGTTCTCCTTTACCCCAGCCTGCTGTCCCAGCAGGGCTGGGCGTGATGTTCCTGGCCTGCATGCCCTGACCACTTTGGGTGTCATGATCTGGGGGACAGGCCTGTGTCCTACATGCCCTTCCCCACCAAGAGATCGGAGGCTGTCTAGGTTTTCAGCTTGTTCTTGAGCAGCCAGCAGAGGACTGGGCCTAGAAGAAGCCAGGTGGTAGGTTACTAAACAAAACAGTAAAAGAACACATGGATATTTTTCCTTCATCTTACAGATGAGTAACCCGAAGCCCAGAGAGGAGACATCACCTGCCTGAGGGCCCTTCTAGCCCATCCAGCCTCAAACCAGGTCTGTGTGACCCTAGAACCCATGTGTAGAACTTCTGGGATGAGGATACAGGGCCTGGGGCCATCTGTGGGTCGTGCAGCGCACCTGTTGGGCCTGCCAGTCATGCCTGGCCATGAGCAGGGCTCTCTGTTCACCTATTTGTTACTCACTGCAACCCTGTGAGGTTAGCGCATGGAGAGGTATGAGGAGTCCAGTCACTTGCCCTGGGCCATCTGTAGCAGATGGCAGGGGAGAGTTGCCTTTGCCTGCCAGGTCCCTCAGGCCCCTTGGGCTCCCAGTCAGAGAATTTACTCTTTGCCTGACTCCATTCCTAGTGCCCACCTAAAGACCAGATCATGAAACTGGGAGTGTCACGGAGAGGATACCTGGCCATCTGTACCTCCCTACCTACCCTTATCCTTGTAGACAGCAGAGGTGGGTAGTAAACCCAGGTGACAGAGATATATCATGTGGGGCCTCTTGGGCCACAGTGAGGTCCTGAGCTGGAGAGGGCGGTAACCCAGAGGCGGTAACCTCTGGCTGGAGGCAGAGGGGCAGAGAGATGCCAGGTGAAGAGTGGGTGCCCACCTGCCGCTGAACCCTCTGCCCACCATGCTTCTTCCCACAGCGCCCTTGAGTGCAGAGGCCCCAGCACCATGTTTGGGAAGAGGAAGAAGCGAGTAGAAATCTCAGCACCCTCCAACTTCGAGCACCGAGTGCACACGGGCTTTGACCAGCATGAACAGAAGTTCACAGGGCTGCCCCGCCAGTGGCAGAGCCTGATCGAGGAGTCGGCTCGCCGGCCCAAGCCCCTTGTGGACCCCGCCTGCATCACCTCCATCCAGCCCGGGGCCCCTAAGGTAAGCCATCGCCCACCACCACCTCCCACACCTGTGCCATCCCCAGCAGCCCCAGCCTATCACCCCATCCTTGACCCTGCAGCCAGCTCAGGACCCTCCACTTCCTCACAGACCTTCACTAACCTTCCACATCTGCAGTTCAGTGCTGGCCTTTTGCCCTCCATATGTGCCCCCAGTCCTGAGAACCCAAAACTTACCCAATCTGAATCTTGCACTGTGCCCCCATCGGCCCCATATTGACCTCTAGCCCCATGCCCTGAGCTCTGTCTCCTGTTCAAGCACCACATACCTGACCTTGATCCTTTCCAAAGCCTCCTGGCTATGAGGAATGGTAGATGTTAGATGGCAACAGCCCCAAGTAGTTGGCCTGGGATGGGGGAGCCAGGGCTCCCAGTGAGCTTCCTGGGGGAGGGAACACCTTAGTTATACCTGAGAACTAAGGAGGAAAGGGAAGTGAGCCTGTGGGGGAAGCAGGGTGTGGAGCAGAGGAAACACTCATGTGACGCATTGAGGCTTTTGGTTTTGTGTTTTTCCTGCCATCTTGAGCAAAACTGCAGGGTTGGGATTGGAATTGAGGCCTCTTTCTATAACCCACACTCTTCACCCTGTCCTGCCTCTGTGTGCACTGTCAGAGTTGTGGCTGCAGCTAGGCTGGCCCGTGCCAGGGTGCCCACGCCCAGCCTGTGAAGCCCGCCTTGGGGCACAGACTATCTCCCAAGGCTGATGGGGGCTGGAAGGGCTGTTGCCAGGGGAGCTCAGCCCAGTGTGTCTCCGGAGGGTGGAGAAGGGTACGCCTGTTGGTCAGCAGGCTGAATACCTGGGCAGGACCTGGCTGACTCATCCTCTCAGGTTCCCAGCCCAGGCTGGGCACAGAGGAGGCCCAAGGTCAATGAGTCGACCATGGGGACAGTACTGGGTCTCAAGCTGAAGCCACCAAATTGTGTGTATCCCCTGAAAGCTATTTTGCCTATTTGGACTTCTTTGCTACTAATTTAAAAGTAGAATTGCTGTACACCTCCATCCCAGCTTCTGCCCAGCCTGAACAACTTAATAAGACTCTCTAAAGATAAAAAGCGCTGTGGATATGACTGAGTGGTGCGGTGCTTGCCTAGCATGCATGAGGCCCAGGGTCCAGTCCCCAGTACCACAAAATAGGAAAATAATAAAACTGCTTAGCAAGCAGTACACTTCACAGCCACAGCTTTATGGCTTCTCCTGACAAACCAGCTGGTGCCCAGTGACAGCTGCCTCTAGGTGGGCCCTGGCTTTTTTGGACCCACAATTATGTTGTGTCCCATCCTACCCCTGAATGCCAGCCACACCTGTTGGCCACTGGGCCACCTCCACACAGGTTGTCCCATCCTGAGTGTCTCCAGAAATTCAGCATTCAATCTCTTCACAGCCAAAAGCCTCACCTGCAGCTGGTCTCCCAAGTGGGAGGGGTACCTTGCCCTGGCACTTGTGCTTGTTGCCCTTGGCCAGGAGTCTCCTGGCACCTCCTGTCCCATCATTCTAACTCCAAAGCCAGACCGTGTCTTCTTTGCTTCCCTCTGGCAAGTAGTCAGGGCCCAGAAGAGGCAGGGGCAGCAGTAGGCCACCAAGACCTCCATGACCTGGGGGTATTTGTAGGCTGAGTGTTTTCAGCACACATCTCTGCTGGCCTGTGATCAGGCAGGGCCCACATTCTGGCTCCCATGGCTTTTGGCAACCTGTTTCCCTCCCTCCCTTGCTGGTTCAGCAAATGTTTACTGAGCACCTTCTGTGTGCTTGGCCCCATTCTTGGCCCAGATGTAGCAGGACTGGAAGCAGACAGGAGAAAATGCTTACTGCCCTTGGGATTGCTCGACTGAGCTGAGCCCGGCAGGGGTGGATGTATGCATGTTCTGTCCATGGGTGCTGAGTGCCTGGGGTTATGAGAAAGCAGGGAAGGAAGCAGGAGTGTTTTAGATGGGTGCTGTTTTAGATGGGTGCTCAGCAAGCCTCACTGAGAAGCTGTGTTGTGAACGAAAGCCTTGAAGGAGAGAGAGAACCATGAGGACACTAGGGACGAGAGTGGACAGCTAGTGCAAAGGCCTGAGGTTGGCACGTGTCTGGTATGTTGGAGGGGCCAGGAGAAGGCCTGTGTGCCTGGAGCTGAGGGCTACAGGAAGACTCTGGAGGCAGTGCCCAAGGAGGCAAGGTAATGGCTGTGGAGAGTAAGGACTGGCTTCATCCAGGGTATGTTTGCATTTGCCACATGACCCCAGGCCATCCTGCCCTCTGCTTTGAGCCACAGCCACTCTCACTTTCCCTGTACCCCACCTCCTCCAGGGGAGCATAGAGTGTAATTTGGGGATTAATGACCATGGCAGCCTGTAGGAAAGGAGGTGCCGAGCTGTGCCCTGGCCCCAACAGCCTGTAATTTGCAGCCTCCAAAGCTGATTATAGGGTGGGCTGGCCTCCCTCTTTCGCTCCCTCCCCCCAGGATGCTCCTCTAGTCTGGGGAGCCAGAGAAGGACAAGAGTGTTACCAATCTGGGCAGTGGGCAACAGCCTGGCCACAGAGACTGTTCCAAAAGTTCCCCTTCCTGTGGCTGTCCCTGGTGGGGGAGTGGCTGCAGGGAGCCCCGTCATGCCCCCGCCTGCCCACCCATCATCACCCCATGACATTTCTTCATTGTGTCTCTGTCTTGTCTCCATGTGTGTTATATTGTACTGTCTGTGTGTTTGGCACACTTCCTGTGTCCCTCTCCCTGCCCAACCCCCACCCGGCCTTTGCCCTGGACCCCAGACCATCGTGCGGGGCAGCAAAGGTGCCAAGGATGGGGCCCTCACGCTGCTGCTGGATGAATTTGAGAACATGTCGGTGACACGCTCCAACTCCCTGCGGAGAGACAGCCCACCGCCTCCAGCGCGAACCCGCCAGGAGAACGGGGTGCCAGAGGAGCAGGCTACCACGGCCAGAGCAGGCCCTGACAAGGCTGGTGGCCGAAGCCGAGTCACCACTCACACTGAGGCGGGGGCCGGCAGTGGTGATAGGCGGCGAGTAGGGCCAGAGAAGAGGCCCAAGTCCTCCAGGGAGGGCCCTGGAGGGGCCCAGGAGAGCTCCCGAGACAAACGCCCCCTGTCCGGGCCTGATGTCAGCACCCCCCAACCTGCCAGTCTGGCCAGAGAGGCGAAACTGGTGCCTGGCAGGCCCTTTAACACGTACCCACGGGCTGATACGGACCACCCGTCCCGGGGTGCCCAGGTAACCTGCTCCCCAGGACAGCCCTGTGCATTGCTCATCCTGGCCACTCATGTGTCTGTCCCCTGCTAGGAGCAGAATGGTCTCCTTATAACCTTCTTTTTCTTCTGTTTCAGGGGGAGCCTCACAATATGGCCCCCAATGGGCCATCCATGGGGCCTTTGGCCGCCCCCCAGTCCTCTTCCTCCCGGCCTCCTGCCCGGGGCCGCGGTGCTCCCAGCCCTGGAGTGCTGGGCCCCCATGCCTCAGAACCCCAGCTAGCCCCTCCAGCCCATGCCCTTGCTGCCCCTGCCGCACCCCCAGCCCCTGGACCCCCTGGACCCCGTTCACCCCAGCGGGAGCCCCAGCGAGTATCCCATGAGCAGTTCCGGGCTGCTCTGCAGCTGGTGGTAGACCCAGGGGACCCTCGCACCTACCTGGATAACTTCATCAAGATTGGCGAGGGCTCCACAGGCATCGTGTGTATTGCCACTGTGCGCAGCTCAGGCAAGCTGGTGGCCGTCAAGAAGATGGACCTGCGTAAGCAGCAGCGGCGGGAGCTGCTCTTCAATGAGGTAGGCAGGAGCAGGGCAGCAGGACCTGTGGCCCCCCTTCCTTCCCGCCATGTTCTCTCACCCCTGGCCCAGGCCCCGCTCCACTCTTCTCATCCTCTTGGTCCATCCCCACTGTCTCCAGCATGGGCTTCCTGCTCCGTCCCAACAGCACTTGTGCTTATGTCACTGTTTCCTCCACCCACTAAGTCCCAGCCAGCCTGTAGAGTGTCCCTCCGGGCTGGAGCCCTGACCACCACTTGGTACAGCTTCATCCTGTCCCACTCTGCTCCTGCCCCTTTCCGCATTTCCCTGACACTCCCCACACTGCAGCCAAACAGGGTCTTTGACGTTTGGACCTGCCATGTCCCCATCTCTGCCTGACCCTCAAGCCTCCCCTGATGCTCTCAGGACTTAGAAAGGCAGCCTCCGGGGTCCCAGAGAGGAGTCTAGGTGTGAGAAACGCTGCCCTCTTGTATAGGAGTACCTAGGGGAGCCCAGACCTGCAGGCTGCCTGCGTGGCTCCTGCCCGTCTCCAGCACTTTCTCCACTGCCCCATAGCCAGCTCCCACCCCCATTCCCCTGTGCCAACTACATCAAGGGTTCAAGGAATAGTACTGCCCCCATTTCCAAACACAGGACCCCCAGCCCGGCCCCTGACAGTGCCTGGCGTTCACCATTCCAGCACACATCCCATGCCTGCTTATCCTTCTTAGTCCTATACCCACTCTCCACCCTCCTGTCCCAGCATGGCCTCTGGTTGGGGCCACTAAGACCAGGAGTTAGTATGGTGTCTGGGTAAGGGTGCACCCCCAAAGTGGAGGCAGTAGGTTTCAGGCTGGCTTCCAGGACCGCTTGGCCTTGTCCATGGGGCCTGGCCTTTGGGGTGAGCTGGCCACGCTGAAGAGGGAAATCGGGAGCTGGTGCTGGCTGGGTCCGAAGGCCAAGGCAGTATCCCTGCCCATCAGGTGGTGATCATGCGGGACTACCAGCACGAGAACGTGGTGGAGATGTACAACAGCTACCTGGTGGGGGATGAGCTCTGGGTGGTGATGGAGTTCTTGGAGGGCGGCGCCCTTACCGACATCGTCACCCACACCAGGTACTTCTGGGAGTAGGGAAGGGGTGCTCCTGGCTCCCCAGCTCCCTTGCACCTCTGCCCTGATGGGACTTAGGTCCCGAGAGGGTCGCGTGGGGCTGCTGGGCCCCCAGGATAAGAGTGTCTCAGGTTCCTGTCATAGTGGGTATGGCTCCCTCCTTGACCTCACAGGGTAGGTTCTGTTGGCTCAAGTCACCTGCCCACCCTAACCTAAGGCAGGCCTGGGCCTTCTGGGCTCAGTCTGGCCCTGTCTGCTCTTTGGCCCTTTGCTCACAGGATGAATGAGGAGCAGATTGCCGCCGTGTGCCTGGCTGTGCTTCAGGCCCTGTCTGTGCTCCATGCCCAAGGTGTCATCCACCGGGACATCAAGAGTGACTCGATCCTGCTTACCCATGATGGCAGGGTGAGGAGGGGATGGCCAGGGGCTGGCTTCCCTACCCCACCAAGTACCCTCTGCTGCTCAGTGACCAAGGAGCAGTGGGCAGATCTGTCCCTCATAGAACGGTCCCAGTCTGGAGCCAGGTTAGTGGGCGCCATTCAGCACAGGATTAACAACTGTAGCACTGGGGCTGAAGGGACACATGCTCAGGCTCTGTGACAGCCGCAGCTCCACTACATGTTTGTCTGTCTGCTGACCACTCCCTGCAAGCAGTGGATGGGCTGCGGACCCTGGCCTGCCTCCCCTGTTTTGGGCTGAGGTTCTGCATTTATAATCCAGGGAGATTTTCTGTAAGAGAGACTCTTAGGGCCACCACAATCTTGCAAAGTTGGCGACTCTGGCGCTCCCACAAAGAAGGTCCAATCCCATCAGTGGGGGCAGAATGAACACACATTCCCCGAGAGGATACGAAGCTGAGGCTGTCTGCAGATGTCTCCACAGAACATCTGTGAGTCTCCTGAAATTGCACGCACCCCATGTGGGTGTGTGTTCTGGGGGCGAGCGGATCCATAGATATCCTCAGGAGTCTGAAAGGGCCCACAGCTCCCAAAAAAGGTGTAAAACCTTCTGGGAAACTGGTTGTTGCAGAGGCAGGCTTTGTGTGTGTGTGTGTGTGTGTGTGTGTGTGTGTGTGTGTGTGTGTGTGTAAGTGTATCAAGTGCATGGGCACATACATACACCACAGGGCTGAGCAGTGTCCCTCTCCAGCATGTGCACCAGCGACCTGCTCCTTCCAGAGAAGGGCCAGGATGCTGGTGCTCAGAGCCCGCTGGCCTCTGTCCTGCCCAGCCTTCAGAATCTGCTAGCCTCAGCCACTTTCCCAAGAGACTTGTGGCACCTGGGCCTACACATGGTCAGGCCAGCAGATGTGAGGCCCTTGGGTCCCCTGCCAGAGGTTCTTGCTTCTGGGCTTCACAATGGAGCCAGGGAGCAAATAGGTGAGCACATCTGCAGGCTCTTCCCAGCCACGCCTCTGACTCTGCCCCTCTGCCCTGCCCAGGTGAAGCTGTCCGACTTTGGGTTCTGTGCCCAGGTGAGCAAAGAAGTGCCGCGGAGGAAGTCCTTGGTGGGCACACCCTACTGGATGGCCCCCGAGCTCATCTCCCGCCTTCCCTACGGGCCAGAGGTGAGCCCAGCATGGCCGGGCTGAGTGAGGGCTGCAGTGCGGGAGGTAGCGTGGTAGTATGCAGGGATGGGGCTTCACGGAAGAGGAGACGGATAGTGTTCTTTCATTATTGATTGAGCATGGCCAGTGCTGCAGTGGGAGCAGAGGTGGCCATGGGCTCTGCCTGGTAGTGTGGTGCGCAGAGCACCAACTGGAGACGTCTGACTGGGACAGCCTAAGGATGCTCTTGCAGACATTTTCAAATGCACTTGCATGTGAATGTCTGAATCTTCCACTGAAAAGCCAAATCTGGCCATGTGGAGCTGCATGCACTTCTAGTAGTGGTGAGGGTACAGAGGGAGTCCCCACCCATCGCAGTTGTCTACCCTGGCCTGCCTCTCTCACTGTGGCTCCCTGCCTGACCCTGAGGATCCTACTGGCCTTGACCCAGTGCCCAGCCAAGGAAAGGGCACCTCAGGCCCAAGTGGGGTCACTGGGAAGGAGGCTGGTTGGGGGATGAGTGGACTGCCTGTGCACAACAGGAGCCAGTACAGACTGCAACCTGGCAGGGTGCACAGGCTGTAGACAGTGTGCTCCTTCCTGTTCCCAGTGGCGGCTTTGCTCAGGCAAGGGCACCCTGGTGAAGCAGAGAAGACCCCTGTTCACAGGGACCTCTTTCTGCTATGACCTGCACTGTGTGCCCAGCACTTTGGACAGTCTCAGGACTGGCTCTGAATGGCTTAGGTTGGGTCGTGTGCCCCTTTCTGAACCTGAGTCCCACCTGCTGATTGGGCAGCCAGATCAGGGATTCACTTTGGACCTACAGGAACTGAGGCTTGAGGGGGTCCCCAGAAGAAGCTGGGAGTGGTCAGCAAAGAGCAGTGGCTGGGTACGAGGGCCTCTGGAGAGGGGGCATGTGGAGCCTGGCATGTTGGACATCTCAGAGGGTATTCTGGCCTAGGGACTCTAGAAACAGAAGCAAAGGCTAACTGGGGACCGCCCTCCCTTGGGAATGCGGAGGACTGGCTTGCCCTCTGCTGCTCAGCCCTATATCCCTTCTCCTATCTCAGGTGGACATCTGGTCACTGGGGGTAATGGTAATAGAGATGGTAGACGGGGAACCCCCCTACTTCAATGAACCACCCCTCAAAGCCATGAAGATGATTCGGGACAACCTCCCACCCCGACTGAAGAACCTGCACAAGGTGGGTTCTCACTGGCAGCACCATGTCGCACAGGGTGCTGATACTTGGGGCTGAATCCTTGATGGCTCCTAGGATGGTGTCATATGCACCATGCTTTCCTGTCCCAGGCCCTGTGTCTGCACACAGCCTGTTAGTGGGGGAAGCCCAGAGATGGCAGAGCCCCAGGTTCCCTGGACTTCACCATCTAGAGATTGGGGCTCAGCTGGCCTGGCTGAAGGCATATAGCACTGCTATGTCCTGTTCCCAACCTGTCACACAAAAATCTGCCTAGTCAAAGGCAGAGGTCAGCTCCAGACCCGCCTGGGGGTGGCCTCATGCCATGGGAGAAGGCTGCCAGCTCCATGCCAGTGAAAATAGGAAATGGGCTCTGGGTGCCCCACAGATACCAGGGAGCTCTCAGCCCCTCCCAAGGCAGTAGATGCCCCTCGACGGGAGGAAAGTGAATGCAGTGCCGTGGACCTTGCTCCTGATCCTCACCCTACAGGTATCACCATCTTTGAAGGGCTTCCTGGACCGCCTGCTGGTTCGAGACCCAGCCCAGCGCGCCACGGCAGCCGAGCTGCTGAAGCACCCGTTCCTGGCCAAGGCAGGGCCACCCGCCAGCATTGTGCCCCTAATGCGCCAGAACCGCACCAGATGAGGCCCAGGCTCTGGCCCTGCACCAAAGAGCCCTGGTCGCCTGCCTGCCGGATGCCAATGGGCTGGCCTGCTCCTCCCAGCCCAAGAGACACTCCGTGCAGCACCGCCCTCCTTGCAGGGCCTTCTAGGGTCCCTACTACTGAACTGTACTTTGGATTTTGTGACTGTAGAGACTCCTGGGAGTGGTGAGGTTCCTGGGACACCCCCGGGTCAGTTCCTCTCATGTTCTGCCCCTAGGAAGGAGGGTGGCCCACTCATCACCGGAAACCTGTAGCCAGGTCCACAGGGCTGGAAAACACTCAGAAAGGGGTGTATGTGTGTGTATGTGTGCGCGCACATTGGGAGCCCGCGATTCTCAGCCCACATGCGGGTATCCCCAGAACTTTCCAGGCATCCAGCCCTGCCCCGAGCCAGTGTGGGGTCATGAATGTCTGAAGAGTGGCCTTTTCTTGGAGCCCCACACATCTTCTCTGTGGCTAGAGGAAGCCAGGTTGGGGCCTTCCCCACCCCAGCCTCTGCAGCAAATGACTACTGCACCCAGACAGCCTCCATTTTCTAGAAGCCTATTTATATTGTCATTTTATAACACTAGCCCTATCCCTGGGACCTGGGGATAGGGAACCCCTGTGTTACAGGGTGGCACAGGACAGAGCCATTGCCTGAAAAATTCAGGTTCCTGCCCTGGCAGCACAGCCCTGTTCCACCTTACGCCCCACCCCCAAGTTAGTTTTACAATTAAAATATTTCTTGTTTTTGTGTGTGTGTGTGTATGTGTGTCTGTCTGTCTGTCTACCTGGCCATCATGGGATGGAAGTTCAAAAGCTAGGGCCTGGCTAACCAAGGCACCGCCCACCACAGAGGACCCCACTGTCCTCCCCAGACAGGGCCAAGCTGATCCCCGCCCCGGGAGCAGCCAGTGTTGCAGCCGTAGTTGCCAGGTTGCTATTTCCTGGAACAATAACTTGTCCTGAGCACATTCAGTGACAGGAGCTAACCCTGGACGAGCTGGCATTGGTAAGTTGGCCACTTGGCGGACTGGTCAGCGGGCAGGTCAACGGCTCTTCGGGGGACCGGAGCTGCCACCGAGGGCACTGTCAGCAGGGCTGTCTACTAAGCCGAGGCAGGAGTGGGTTGGTATGGAGGTGTCTGCACTCCTCTGGGGCCCTGCTGGGCACCCTGGTGCTGGGACTGTGGTCTGGCTGCTGCCTGGCAGTGAAGGATCCAGGCCCAGATGCACGTTAGTCCAGCCCTGAAGCTCCACTGCCGCAGAGCCCACCTGGTGTCCCCAAGAGCCAAGGTCTTCTGGCAGTGCTCCAGCGAGTGGGACAGATAGGCACAGACTCAAACGTGGCAGTGCAGGAGCGGCCTCTCACACACGGGAAGTGGATTCACTTCTGCAAGGAAATGTCACAGTTGCCGGATATGGTGGCACATGCTGCAGTCCTAACTACTCTGGATGCTGAGGCAGGAGGACTCCAATTGTGCCCAGCCTGGGCAGTTCAGCAGGAGCCTGTTACAACGTTTAAAAAAGGATTGGGGCGTAGTAGAGCGCCTGCCTAGCATGTGTAAGGATGTGGGCTGGGGGGATAGATACAAATCTGCCAATACAAGGGAAAAGAAGAGAAAGCCTACCTGCAACAACCCTCAAAATACCAAAGCCTCTGGCTTGAACATGTTTATAGACCTCTACGAAACACAAAGGAACAGGTAATTCCTGCACTGTACGAGTTGTCTCAGGAAGTAGGGCAAGAGCAATGCAGCCGTGGCCGAAGGGCCATAAGCAAGCAGACAGCTCGGAGCCCTGCGACAGGAGTCGCTCTCTCTGATCCTGGCGGGCCTGAGCACTGCCTTAGGCTGGGCCTCGCTCGGTTCCAGGTCATTGGCAGCTGGGGGACATGAAGGCACCTGCCTGTCGCAAGTCTGACTCCATTGTGATTGCTGGCGTGAATGCCTCCAGCCACTATCCCTTCAGTTGGAAGGAGTGGTTCTAAGTGGTGTGGGAGCCTCCCTGGGCTGTCTCTGCCAGCACAGCCTTACCACTGTCACCTGTGCAGAAGGGCCACCAAAACAGGACCCTCTTGTGGCTTCAGGGGGACAGGGGAGATGAAATGCAGGGCTGGGTTATTTCCACAGCTGCAGCAAGGCTGGAGGAGCCAGGCAGGGCCAGTTCCCTGGAAGGCAGTGGAAGCCAGAGGCTGTGGTCACCGATGCAGCTGGGGGAGAAGGGGCCAGTGGCTCTGCCTAAAAAGCCACCCTTGCCTCTGTGGAGCCAGAACAGAAGGGCTGCTCCCCACCCTCCGGGCAGAGCCTTCCTGAACCCCTGGTTGGGGGGCTCTATGAAGTGGCTTGCAGGTGTTGCAGCTGAGCAGAGCTGGGCTGTGCAAGGCTGCGTGGGCTGTGCCCAGCCCCAAAATGTGATGACGCTGGACTCCAGGACTCACTTTGTGCGGATGTAGTCCACCAGCCCTAGCTCTCCGAGGCACAGGTGCTAACTCAGCCAAACAGGACAGCATGAGTTCAGGCAGGAGAGTGTGCCAAGTTGTAGGCTACAGCTCTTTGTGGAGAACCAAATGATAATTGAAACAGGTCAGACCAGTGGCTCCCAAAGTGTGGTTACCGGACCAGGCACAACTCAGAGAACTTGCTGGAAATACAAATTCCCGGGCCACACCCCCAGCTGAATCAGACACCAGGTACCACCCAGCAACCTGTTTTTTTGATGAACTGTAGTTCAGGTCAGCCTTGAACTCATTATGTAGCCCAAGTTGCCTTGAACTCACAGAGATCCTCCTGCATCAGCCTCCCAGGGGTGAGTTTTTGGGCTTTGAAGATGGAGTGGATGTACTCCATACTGGCCTCGAATTCATGGTTATTTTAGCCTTCTGAGTGCTGAAATACAGAGATACAACATGCACTACCATACCTAGCACCTCCAGAGAATTCTGATGCCTGCTCCAGGGTGGAAACCTGTGGAATCCACAAGGTTCTGTGTAAAACACCCAAGCTTCATGGGATTCAGCCTTTGGAGTTCTCAGAATCCCAGTGTCCTTCCACCCTGCTCCTTCATCCCAGACTCTGGCCTTCCACATGATGAGAAATGTCCATTCTTCTGCCAGCTTTGGCACACAGCAAGGCAGGTTGGGAAATGTAGTTTTTTTTACCTTTTTGACTTTTTTTTTTGAGACAGGGTCTCAGTGTGCAGTTCGGGCTGCCTTTGAGTTCATTTTGTAGCCCAGGGTGGCTTCAAACTTACAGTGATCCTCTTGCCTCAGCCTCGCAAGTGCTGGGATTATGGGCGTGTGTCATTATGCCTGGCCATAGTCTTTATTCTGAACAGCTCTGGGTCTCACGCAACTGCCATCACTAATGAAATCGTGATTGTCCACTCCTATGCATTTGCTGGCTTCATCTGGTTTAAGGATACCCCAGTGGGCCCAGGGGCCGAGCAGATGTGTGCAGGAGCTTCGTGTGCAAAAACTGTCATCCCACAAGTAAATAATAGTGCTGGGGAAACTGGCTAAGGTTATGGATGGAAGAAAAGTGAGGCTTTACCTCATACTATAAAACAAGGCAGTCTAGATCAGTGCCATCTAGGGCAGGAGCCACAGGCCATGTGTTGCTATTTAATTGTAATATTTTCCTATAAAGTCATTCCTACAAGTTTTTATTTTATTGCTGTTTGGTCAGTGAGTCTGTGAAGACTCATTGGAAGCCAGAGAATAAGGACAGGAAAACTGGCAGAAATAGAGTTGTCCCAGAAGGAAACTGACCTATAATCGAAAGGCTCACCTCAGGGAGACATGTCCCAGTACAGAATTTCTCTATCCGCATTTACACTGCCAACTTTTGTTGTTGTAGTCCTGTGAAACTGAACCCACAATCTTCGTTCTGAGCTGCATCCCTAGCCCTTGGTATTTTGAGACAGGGTCTCTAAGTCACCAAGTTGCCCAGGTTGGGCTGGAAGGAGGCTGGGGCAGGAGGCTATTTATTTATTTGGCGGAACCAGGGATTGAACTCAGGCCCTTGCGCTTGCCAGGCAAGCATTTATTCTACTGAGCCTTAATTTTAAAGTGAATTAAAATTAAGCAGTGCACCAGGGGACTGGCAGATTTGCACACTCGGTTGCCAAATGCAGCCAGACGCCACCAGCCCGCAGCACTGATACAGCACATGTGCCTGGTCTCAGCTCTCCTGGACATCACTGCTCTAACTGGGTCGAAACTCTGATGGTGAAACTGGGCATGGTGGGGCATACATGTAGTCCCATCTGCTGGGGCAGCTGAGGCAGGAGGATCTCAAGTCAAAGGTCAGTCTGGACAAATCACCCCAGAGAGACCTGTCCCAGTACATAAAAAGCACCAAGGCTATAGCTGAGTGGCACAGTGCCCGCCTAGTATGCGTGAAGCCCAGGGTTCCATCCCTGGCACCAAACCCAGAACTAAACTGCTGCTATTCCAGCAGTCCTAGGAAACATCATTGGAGCAGCCCTTCCGGGAAGCCCCTCCACTGTCCTATTTCATATATGAAAGACTGAGAACCCAAGAGGGCAAAAAGGCAGTGGAAGCAGGATTTGAACCCAGGTACTTGGTCCCAGGGTCCTGCATAAGATCACTACACCACACTAAACCACCAACTAGGGTCCTGCCTCACTATGCCAACCAGAGGGTCACATTTGGACAGGAAAATAGCCCTGCTCCTCCCTGGGAGCCCAGTCACTCAGCAGAATCAGGAAAGGGGCTGGGGTGTCCTGGGGCACCCCAATGAGACTTGAGGTTGAGGGACAAGTCTGGGAAGCTTTGGAAGTAGGGACTTGTCTGAGACTTTTCCCAGAAGACCAAAGGTATCTTCAGAACTTTAGGGAGTGCTGCATTAAACAAAGTTAAATTCAGGGGTGTGGTGGCACCTCTTGTCACCTCCACATTCTGGAAGACTGAAGCAGGAGGATCCCAAATTGGAACCCAGCCAGATAGCTTCGTGACTTAGCAAAACCCTGTCTCAAACTAAAAATAAAAAGGGCCCTGGGTGAGGCTCAGTGTGAAGGCCATGGGTTCCATCCCCAGCACTGAAAAAGGAAAGTTAAATTCCTCTCCCTTCTTTTCTCCCTCCCTCCCTCCCTCCCTCCCTCCCTCTTTCCTACTCCTTCATCTCTGTCTCTGTCCCTGTCACTCTTCTGGTTTGATCAGGTTCATTGTCTGAACAGGTAACCCAGGTCTAGGACGCAGGTGGAGAGGGCTGCGAAGGGGAAGAGAGTGAAAGGTCAACCTCTGTCCCTCTCTCCCCACCGCTGCTTCCCTGCTTCTCTCTGCAGAAGACTGCTGATGAGCTCCTGGTGTCTCCAGGAGGGTCAGCGCAGGCAGAAGCTCCCCCGCATCACATGCGGACCTGCGGTCTGCCTTGCACAAATTAGCCTGGCACTGGAAATCAATCTCAGGACCTTACTCTTGCCAGGTAGGTGCTGTGCTTCTGGCCCTAGAAGTGTATCTTGGTGTTGATTCTCTGTATTATTACATGAAAAACAACTTGTGGCTATTAACGACCAGGTATTATTCCACTGAGCAGATGAACCAGGACCGAAACAGCCCTGTCCGTGGCACTCAAGGAGCTCGAGTTATTGGCCTCTGTTTCGGCTGTGCTGGGCACCAGCTAAGTAAGCACTCTGGATAGAACCCCGGTCCTCCACGTGCTAAGTAAGCACTCCGCCCGGGGCTACACCCCCAGCCCTGCCCGCTGCTCTGCACAGTGCCACAGCGCAGAG